CGTAAAGAATTCCCTCTTACTGATTGTACCAGTATTATAAGACACGAATAGTGATGTGAGGCAGTGTCTTACAATATTTAATATAATCTCGTAACCAGAGATTTTATCGTAAAGAATCCCCTCTTACTAATTGTACCGGTATTATAAGACACGAATAGCGATGTAAAGCAGTGTCTTACAATATTTAATATAATCTCGATCAGAGATTTTATCGTAAAGAATCCCCTCTTACTGATTGTACCGGTATAATAAGACACGAATAGCGATGTAAGGCAGTGTCTTACAATATTTAATATAATCTCGTAACCAGAGATTTTATCGTAAAGAATCCCCTCTTACTAATTGTACCAGTATTATAAGACACGAATGGATTTACTGTTCTTTAGTCTGTAATCAAAATTTGGTAGCTTTAAAGTAACTACAGATATTATTATGTATCAAATATCGTGCAGGTAGTCTTCTAATTGAATTAGGTATTTTATATTCAAATCGTTTCGTATTAACATCTCGGAACGTTTCATATTGGTTCTAAATTTCATCTTCGAAACGTTTCTCCTACATAACGTTTTGTTTTTTACTATATCGCATCTCCAAAATGTTTCATATTGATACTGTGTATATCTTCAAATCGTTTCGTATTGACACTATGATTCATCTCGAAACGTTTCATATTGATACTGTGTGTGCTTTCAAATCGTTTCGTTTTAATGTAAGGTATCGTCTTCGAAATGTTTCACTTTCGAATCATAAAATGAAACGTTCTCCATCTTTCTGAGCTGATACTACATTGTATACGGACAACGTGTTCTAATAAATACTGAAAGCTGATACTACATTGTATAACGTACAATGTGTTCTAATAAATACTGAAAGTTGTTACTACATGGTATAACGGACAACGTGTTCTAATAAATACTGAAAGCTGATACTACATTGTATACGTACAACGTGTTCTAATAAATGCTGAAAGCTGATACTACACTGTATACGGACAACGTGTTATAATAAATACTGAAAGCTGATACTACATTGTATAACGGACAACGTGTTCTAATAAATACTGAAAGCTGATACTACATGGTATAACGGACAACGTGTTCTAATAAATACTGAAAGCTGATACTACATTGTGTAACGGACAACGTGTTCTAATAAATACTGAAAGCTGATATTACATTGTATACGGACAACGTGTTCTAATAAATACTGAAAGCTGATACTACATTGTATAACGGACAACGTGTTCTAATAAATACTGAAAGCTGTTACTACATTGTATACGGACAACGTGTTTTAATAAGTACTGAAATATAACTGTTGTATGTTAACGTACTGAGCCGGTAAATCTTTAAACAATGTATTAGTACCCCAATCTAACTTATTTAGGAAGAAGTAATCAAATTTTATCATCAATACTTTTAATTCAAAGATACAACACAAGGTGGCAAACCACTGTCTATTCTGACAATATGTGTCTCTCAAAATGGAACCTTTTGGCCAGTTTCTATAATTCAGAGAGACGTTATAAACGAATCTGTTATTGTCCTACTGTGTACGATAAATGTATAATAATTTGTCTTTAATTCACAAATCGTCTTTATGCAACTTTTCAAATGATCAAAATCAAGAGTTAGATTAACGACTACCAATCAGTGGAATCTATATATACTTGGAGCGAAACTAAAAATCAACCTAGCCAATCAGTATACCATTTAAATATACCATTCTTACGTAGTTACATAACTGGCCAATCAGTATAGCCATTTAGATATACCATTCTTACGTAGTTACATAACTGGCCAATCAGTATAGCCATTTAGATATACCATTTTTACGTAGTTACATAACTGGCCAATCAGTATAGCCATTTAAATATACCATTCTTACGTAGTTACATAACTGGCCAATCAGTATAGCCAGTTAAATATACCATTCTTACGTATTTACATACCTAGCCAATCAGTATAGCCAGTTAAATATACCATTCTTACGTATTTACATACGTAGCCAATCAGTATAGCCAGTTAAATATACCATTCTTACACAGTTACGTATAACGATTAGAAGTTATAGTTTCTTTACTTGGATACTCTATTGTTAACGATATTTTTTCCCCGCAATCCCAATGATATCTCACGAGGTCCGGCCAGCTAGGAGATTTAGGTTAGGCCTAAATACATATTTAAAACTAAGAAATAATTAACCTTGGGGAATGAACGAGAAACTATCAAAACAAGACCGATCACACATTATTGTAAAAACTATCAAAACAAGACCGATCACACATTATTGTAAAAACTATCAAAACAAGACCGATCACATATTATTGTAGAAACTATCAAAACAAGACCGATCACATATTATTGTAATAACTATCAAAACAAGACCGATCACACATTATTGTAGAAACTATCAAAACAAGACCGATCACACTTTACAATAATATGTGATCGGTCTTGTTTTGATAGTTTCTACAATAATAAACTATCAAAACAAGGCCGATCACACATTATTGTAGAAACTATCAAAACAAGACCGATCACATATTATTGTAAAAACTATCAAAACAAGACCGATCACACATTATTGTAGAAAACTGATAATAAATTGACGAAAGAACGTGACAGACATTATGAATAACATATCAGAGAAAGTAGTACAGATCTTTCACTTCGTCGGTCAATACGTCATTTAGTCCACGATTATCTAGAGAGTGTTGATAAACTAACCCCTTCGTAGGTCAATACTTCATTTAGTCCACGATTATCTAGAGAGTGTTGATAAACTAACCCCTTCGTAGGTCAATACGTCATTTAGTCCACGATTATCTAGAATGTGTTGATAAACTAACCCCTTCGTAGGTCAATACGTCATTTAGTCCATGATTATCTGGAACGTGTTGATAAACTAACCCCTTCGTAGGTCAATACGTCATTTATTCCATGATTATCTAGAACGTGTTGATAAACTAACCCCTTCGTAGGTCAATACGTCATTTAGTCCACGATTATCTAGAGTGTGTTGATAAACTAACCCTTCGTAGGTCAATACGTCATTTAGTCCACGATTATCTAGAGTGTGTTGATAAACTAACCCCTTCGTAGGTCAATACGTCATTTAGTCCACGATTATCTAGAGAGTGTTGATAAACTAACCCCTTCGTAGGTCAATACGTTATTTAGTCCACGATTATCTAGAGCGTGTTGATAAACTAACCCCTTCGTAGGTCAATACGTCATTTAGTCCACGATTATCTAGAACGTGTTGATAAACTAACCCCTTCGTAGGTCAATACGTCATTTAGTCCACGATTATCTAGAGAGTGTATACCTCAGCCACGTAGCGTTGATTATATTCGGCTCTCAAAAAGTTCATATGTCTGTCGTTATCAACGGACAGGATCATTTTTGGCAGGACAATGCGGAATAATATCCTACATATGTCCACCAAGTTTCATCAAAATCCGATCATTTTTGACTGAGTTACAGAGCAAAAATAGTGTGAAAAACGGTCAATTATGTTCAAAAATAGAGGTTTTTATTTTATTTTTTTTGCTGTGACTAAACCCTCCAAAAATTAATCACTTCTAAATTGGGTTATAGTTTCCTTGAAATCTTGCTGACAAACACAGGGGTAAAAACATAACCTTCGGAGGTAATAACAAAGTCATCCTTTAAGATATAATATCTCGTTAATGTAAATATATATATATAGGAACATATGTGAAACCGCCAGTTTAAGAAACGTCTATTAAAAGCCAGCTATTGGTTGAAGATACGAAGTGATCTCTGTAATAATACGACACGACAGGAACTGTAAGTATTACAAGATATATCGTGCGTGACACAGAGCTGGAAATTCCGTCGTTCTAACAAGCCAGGTATGTTTATTAAATTTCTTTCCTGTTGTTTGCGTACACAGTCTTAAATCAAGATACAGAAATCGTACACGTGAAGCATAGGTAACGTTGGCGGTACTTGTCGATATTGTAAATGTTTCGTCAGCTTGCTAAGATTGTTTAATTCTCGTCTTAATAATAATCCGCGTCGTTATAAAAAGACCTTTCAAACACACTTATAATATTCATACTGTTTGGTTTAAAGTGTTTAATTAAGTTATCTGAATGTTGGAAAATGTTAATACTCTACCTATCCATCATTCAGCTATTATTACAACCATCTACCAACTTGTCGTTTTTATCTATTCAACCGTTTGTTTGCGTGGATTCCTTCTCACACACGTGCGGACTAAGACGTTGTTGTATTTACGTCCTTTGTTAACGTCGAGTGTTTGAAGTGAAAAGCATTCCTTTTGTTGTAGGACGTTGTTAGACGACAATTTTAGTCGTTAAAAGAGAAACTAGCTGGCAACGTTATTTGCGTTGTGGGCGAAACAGTTAGCTTATGTAAATAGGAAACACGCGGTTGTGAACAGTGATATTTCCTTTTTGACAGTCGTGCAAATAAGCTTTGAACTGGAAGAGCGCGTGAACTTGTGACGTAAGAGCGTTGTGAGGGCGAGATCCTTTGACACGTCGGCATAGAATGATACAGTTCGTTCATTTATATGTTTACTTGAGCAAATCTATTCAAAAGATGAAGACACTGTAGTTATTACCCGCTTTCGAGTTGTTGACACCAGAGGGATGAATGACAACATTTAAAGCAAGAGGAGGAGAACGTTGTCAGAAAAATGAATCATTCAGGTTACCATAGTAACAAATGGACGGGTAGATCGAGATGGAAGGAGTCTAACTTCCTTACTAGTTAGCCAAAAGTCAGAATCGATTATAGGGGTGTGGGAAGTTTTTTTTTTAATTAAACGTTTTATGGTTTCGATAAAAATCTTAGAAAAATGAACGCTTTTATACAGTTAACGATTTCGTTTCTCCGATCGACGCCTGGTAACCACCTGGCTAGAGAAAACCTAGGTGTCGCTAAACATTTATTGAGGAACTGTTGTCGTAGTTCAGTTAGCAATTCTAATTTATTTTACAAATTGATCTTAGATTGTATTTCAGGAACTTAAAGTCTATTTAAAAACGTCTGAGTGCCTAAAGACTATAACATTAAATACAATTATTCGTATAGAAATAAAAGTGGGTGAACATTTCTATTAATAGGCAAAAATAAATAAATAAATAAAGACGTACTACTCGTAGCAATATATGACTTCTGTTAAATGTATCATGATTTCAGACTCTTTTCGCTAATGACTCTATATAAATATAATAATACTGTCTGTTGTATGTCCATATAACTACTTCTACACAAATATAATAGTACTGTCTGTTGTATGTCCATGTAACTACTTCTATATAAATATAATAGTACTGTCTGTTGTATGTCCATCTAACTACTTCTATATAAATATAATAGTACTGTCTGTTGTATGTCCATATAACTACTACTACACACAAATATAATAGTACTGTCTGTTGTATGTCCATATAACTACTTCTATATAAATATAATGAATAGTACTGTCTGTTGTATGCCCAGGTAACTACTTCTATATAGATAGTAGTTACCGTCTGTTGTATATCCATGAAGCTACTTCTATATAAATATAATAATACTGTCTGTTGTATGTCCATATAACTACTTCTACACAAATATAATAGTACTGTCTGTTATATGTCCATATAACTATTTCTATATAAATATAATAGTACTGTCTGTTGTATGTCCATGTAGCTACTTCTATATAAATATAATAGTACTGTCTGTTGTATGTCCATGTAACTACTTCTACACAAATATAATAGTACTGTCTGTTGTATGTCCATGTAACTACTTCTATATAAATATAATAAATAGTACTGTCTGTTGTATGTCCATGTAACTACTTCTATGTGAATATAATAGTACTGTTTGTTGTATGTACATGTAACCCTATATACAGGGTAAACAAAGGTTTCGTTTAATACCACAGTATATTTGCTATATAAAGGGTCAACAAAGGTTTCGTTTAATACCACAGTATATCTGCTATATACAGGGTCAGCAAAGGTTTCGTTTAATACCACAGTATATCTGCTATATACAGGGTCAACAAAGGTTTCGTTTAATACCACAGTATATCTGCTATATACAGGGTCAACAAAGGTTTCGTTTAATACCACAGTATATCTGCTATATACAGGGTCAACAAAGGTTTCGTTTAATACTACACTATATCTGCTATATACATGGTCAACAAAGGTTTGGTTTAATACTACACTATATCTGCTATATACAGGGTCAACAAAGGTTTCGTTTAATACCACAGTATATCTGCTATATACAGGGTCAACAAAGGTTTCGTTTAATACCACAGTATATCTGCTATATACAGGGTCAACAAAGGTTTCGTTTAATACCACAGTATAACTCCTATATACAGGGTCAACAAAGGTTT